TGGTACGCGAAAAGGAATACTTTATCGATACTGGCAATAAGCATGATGGAAATACATTTGCTAGTAAATTGTTTTCAAAATAGCATTTTTCTAGCTTCTTCCTTCTATTCAGACATGGCTTGAAATGTTGGTAGTAGACGTGTTTTACATTTCGTTTTTAGACCTGTGCTGAATTGACGCAATTCTCTATCATTCATTCGCGCGTAATGTTTTAGGTGCCATCCAGTTTCATTTTTCCTAATTTGCAAATATGATCCTCAAATTGGTACTGTTCAATACTGATATGCGTGAACAATCAACGAGTAAGGGTGTCCATACATTTTCTGATCAAATATAGAGCGATTTTCTTTTTGGTTTTTATGCTAACTTTTTTATGTGTAATCTTTAGTAAAATATTCATAAGCTCAGGTCATTGTCATTTTCATATAAAACTATTTGCTAATCGCAGTGCTGTGTTGTTCATTGCGTTTTATTTCGTTTTCGCATGCAATCTGAATAAAGTTGCTTTGAAATCATCGCTGTGTGTTTGCTTCTTACATCCTATGATATTCAAAGGAACTACACAATAGCACACATACACAATTAAATAGCTGTATAATTTTCTTTATAAAAATGTATGATATGTAAGGAAATTGAATTTGGTAAATTAAGCAGAAATAAGAGTCTTGTGATTGCCATATAAAATGATTAAATTCAATGGAAGGCTATGAAAAAAAAACTTATTCGCAAGGTCTATTCTCACTGCGTTAAAAAAGATGCAAAAGTACTAAATATTTTCGTCTCTAACAATTTGCAAATAATAATTGATAGTAATACTGACAGAGGACATAAGTAGCTGTTGGCAATGATAATGATTGTGGTGGAAGCCCTTAATGGTAATGGCAGGATCCCTTGTGACGAAAGTGGCAAATGATGAAGTACTAACTGTCATCAAGAATGGTTATAAGTATTAACAATAAATGTCGTAAGTCAGAGTAACAATAACTGAGTAAAAGCAGTCCTAGTTGATAGCACTTGTAGCGTCAAGTGATAATTTGTGGAACTAATGGAAACTAATGACTATCAAAGTAATAATAATTCGAGTGACGTACAGTAATAATGTCAGCATTTAGAATAACAGGAGGTAATTAATTTCTGTCCTTGTAGTAAGCAATGCTGTGGTTACTGTCAGTGGAAAGTTATAGCAGCGTTTGTCATCATTAGCAGTAGTGAATATTTTTTACTTGTAATGTCGACAGTCAAAAAAATTGCTCACAATAGTAGTACTTAGAGTGGCGATGGAATAAGCAGCATTAGCAGTAGTAAGTGCGTGAGAAACAACGGTATAATGATTTAACGAAGTAATTTTATTTGTATTTTGTGCATCTGAAATGCTGACTGCGTTTTGATGTTGCCGATTCTTTGACACCTATTACTTCAGGAATTTCAAATTACTCCCCATCACATCTATTTGCTGGTATTGAAGCTTTTGAAGTGTGTTTGAAACAATTTACTGTAAATTTTTTGCTCCTAACCAAACATCTAATCTCGTTGTTTGATTGAAAAGAGCATAAAACCCTGTTGTGTCGCTATGTTTTGTCGATTACTGCAAGAATTATATACATTGCTTCTAATATAGGAGGTGTTTTTAGCCAGTACCTGACTAATATACAGAAGCAAGGTTCAGACTTGTTAAATTATGCAAATGAAAATCCGAAAAAACTGACATTAAATCTCTTCAACTGCAATGCTGCTAGTTGCAATCTCCTCAAGCAAGTGCATTTCTGGCGGTAAATGAAGCTTCTTATTCAATTTTTGACCTTTAAATGAAAGGCATGAGACAGTGCTAGCCGTTATAAGCTTTGCTCAATGGAACAAATTAGAAAGTCTTCTCTTAAGATACCAAACAGTGTAGTCACTTGAAGTACTCTATGGATAATATGAAAACATTATCAGCACTGATATCCCATTTTCTGAAAGAACTGGCATATTTGAAATTAAGCTTGACATTTGGTCCTAATAAACACAGTATATTATCTGAAATGTGCTGTTATGTATTTAATTATGCAACATCTTAGTTACTGCGATAAGTATAAAACACTGAATTTTTTTTATAACTCAAAGGCTGGGCCAAAGACTAACTCAAGACATTTCAAACCATCTTGGACTGAAATTTCTGAAGTCATGCACTGTTGAGTACAACGTTTTTAAGTGTGCAGTATAGAGCAGAATTTCTGTCTTTCAAGTTTCTCTTTTTTTTCATGTAAAGTTTCAGCTTTCTAATTGATGTCAAAAAAAAAAGACAGCCTAGTTACTTATTCTTAGACTGTATCATTTAATGTCAGTAAACAGAATAGAATGGTAAAGATTTTGCAGATTTTTTTGTAATTTATAACCGATGAGACAATATCGAGAATTCTCTACTGTGGAATCATTTGCATTTTTTTCTGTTGCATTAGTTTACATCGTTTACTTATTGCAAATGCGCTGTTTTTAATGCAGTTTGATAAAATTAATTAATTTAATTATGATTATAATCAAGTAATAATGATCAGCTGTAGTATATGTGAATAGCAAACGTTAAAGTATTGAAATGTCAAGCACTGAGGTAGAAATCATCTGTTAACGATGGTATTTATACAATTTATCATTTTTACGCCCTAAAAGGCTCAATAAAATATGTTCATTGATAATGTAGCTGTAATTTTATCAATAAAATTGCTGCAGCAACAAAAATGACCAGATCATTTGATTAAGAGTTGAGTATTCTCTTCTACTGATGAGAGTTTTGTTTGATCTTCTCTGAAGAGATGTTTTTATTTGTGGGTCCTATTGTAAATGTTAGAAAAATTTTTCCGTAATTTTTATTGAAAATACTCATTTTATTATTTTTACTTTATCCCTGTTACCACTATCATGTACTAATATTTTTTAATAAAACTTAAAATATTGATTATAATAAATTAAAAGTTTTCAGAAACGTCCTATTTAACTTGATAAATGCTGTCATGAGTATTTCCAGTTTCAGTATTTTGTGATTTTACTCGTAATTATAACTTGAATGATTTTATTTAGTTTATATTTTTATTTTATGGCTTGCAAATGTCACAAAGATTCCATTGATATTTTAAAAGCATTTTATATATGAATAATTCTTATAATTTTCGTTTATATTTGCAAATTTTCTTCCCTTATCTAATAATAAATATAAAAAAAATAACCTCAAACGTATTCTAGCTTTCAAAATTGCTGATTTGTAGTGAATAACTTAATCAATGCTAATATTTAATTGCAAAAATAAACTGTTACAGAATTGAGTAAAAAGTTTTGCGGTGATCAATTTTGCAAAGCAAATGATTCAGAAGGAAAGTAATGTGATTAGCTGTGCTAACAAAAAAAATTGTTTTAGAAACAAATAAAAATTAGCAATTGAAGTGAAATTTAGAAATTGATAGCATTCAGTGCTCAGTGATGCTTTAACACTAAGCAGTAATTAGATAATGCAACTACATAATGCAATTACTCACAGAAAAAAATTTGAAACTGAGAGTGAGAATCATTCAAAAGCAAACTGAACGATTGGAAGGGAAGTACGATGATTGATCTTTAGATCAATCATTGCAAAGTAATAGCATCTTGTCTTCATTTCTCTAACTTTGTGCTTCGGATAAACTAATCCCTCAATACTTCAGAAAATATCTCCGCAAGCTTGAAAATAGCAGCTGACAATTGAACAAAACAACAAAATTTATAAATATCTTAAAAAATAGCTCACTTATGGTCTTAATTATCTATTGGTGTTATCATCCAAGAAATCAGAGTAATATTTGCAGAAGCACTTTTAATAATAATTTACACTAGATGAACAAGCAGCAGAAATCAACAGCACGCAATAATTTTTTTGAGCTTGAAAATATTTAATAATTTTTATTTTAATAATTGTCAAATAGTTATCAACTAATGTGCATTACCGATATCAAAAGAAAAAATTATGGATATACTGGTGTCAGTAATGTGTAGATCATATTAACAAGATTAATAACGATGACAATAATGATAATGATAATGATAATGATAATAATAATGATAATAATATTAATTAATAATAATAATAATAATAATAGATATCATTATTATTACTGTCACTATTATTTTCATCAATTATAATAATAGTGATAGTAATAATAATGATAATAATATTAATTATTATTATTGCTTGCTTGATTGGAAAACTGAAGTGTTTTGCTGAATAAGAAACAATGATAATGATTTTTGTTGTGCTGATTTTCTTTCCATAAGCCTGAAAATAAGTTTACGCTTAGCTTTTCATATCACCTTTTGCTTCTCTTTCATTCTGATAACCACAACACAATTTCTGTTAAAATTTGTGTAACGACTTTTTCATATTTTATTTTCAGCCCTTTCGCGTTTCTTTTTACTTACTTTCGCTTCATCGTCTTCTACTTCACTTTCTTAAACGAAAAGCTCTTTAAGCTTGAATCATCCAACCCACACGTTTTCAGCTTCTTCAATTTATACATTTCACTCTACAGCTTTGACTTCAGGTCCATTCGGTTTGCCTCTATCCAAAACTGCTTCAAAATTTTTGTTATTTTTATTCTATTTCTAATCAATCGTTAAATTTGAAGCAAATAAGAAAATTTTGCATATTTTCCTTTTATCGTTTTGGAGAGGCAGGCTAATTACAACTTAATAATTCGCTTAATTTATGAAGAAGGCTATATACTAAACGTATTAGAACTATTCTTCATTCGACAAGTTCAGATCTTCGAGTAAATTAGCCATTACTGTTATTTTGCTTTCTGTTCTGATCTTTCTATTACTTCTAATTTTATTACTCGAATAATAAAATTGGGATACGATTTTTACGCTAGTTGCAAAATCAAAATAAAAAGATCTTTTTTGTGGCATTACAAAAAGTATAGCGATACTTTGGGACTCCTCATCCTAAATTACTTAGATATTTTATGACTTTCTTTAATTATTAATCACTCGTAAGAATGAATATAGCCAGTCGACGCCAACGAGAGTATCAAAGAAAATATAATTCGTACAGGTGAATGCATACATTGAATTCGTACAATTCGATTGTACTGCTTAATCAGTGGAGCTCACCACATAATTTATCTTCCAATTAAGTTAAAATATTTCCTAAGATTTTGACAATAGTTTATTACTGTTTATCATTTGAGCTATTTTATTCTGCTGAACTGAATATTCAAAATTAAATTTTATTCAAAATTAAATTTTTTGTAACAGACTTTATTTTGAAGAATTAATTATGAAAAAGCATTTCAATACAAAAATGGCTTATTACCAGTGTGAAACTGAATCAAAAAGTAAATAAATATACTAATAATTCAAAGAAATGGATCTAAAAATGAATTTTTGCTTCAGTTTTAAAAACATTTTGTCTTTTAGGTAACGCATAGTTTTGTTAATCGATTTGTTATTCTAGAAAATATACAGCAACAGAAGATGTGAATTATGCTGCGCACACATCCAGATCAGCATATCGCTCCGAATCTATCACATCAAAAAGTGGTGAACGTGGAAGAAGTTCATCCTCTGAAATTATAACTGTTCGATCTGTTCATAAATATATTTTTTAGATATTTTTGTATATATATTTTAATAAATGTCTGAGCAATTTTTTTATAATAAAAGTATAAAAATGTTAGAAGATTTTTAATTGAATTGATTAAAGTTTTAGATGCTTTATGAATTCCAGTTTTTTCCTTTCTACTTGAATTATTATAAAATTTTGAGGCTTCTGAAACTCGATCATTGCCTGTTTACATTGCAACTCAAGACTACATCCCTGAACCTGATGAAAAAGAATCAGTAACTTTAGAACAGGGACAAATTGTTGAAGTACTGGATAAGAAGAATGCTGCTGCTTGGCTTATCAGAACAAAGGTTTCAGATTCTATGGATTAATTTTTATGGATTTTTTGCAAAAATTCAGTAATGTAAAAAAATGTAAATTTGGCTCAAAAACATTTCATTTTTCCAGGCTCGTCCACCAAAATCAGGTTGGGTACCAGGCTCATATTTTGAATCTCCAACAGAATATTATAAGCAAAGAAAACAAACTCGGGAACTGATCAGCCATGATTCGAACTTGACTGAAGAGCAAGAAGCATGCATGAAAAGAGAGTATGTTCTGATAGAAATGATGCAACACTGTGATTGCAGAATTACTGTGATAACTTAAATAGTAATAAATAATAATAGCATATTGTTGAATGAAAGATAGTAATAATATATTAGCATATTTATATTGGTTAAACATAAAATAGTGATGACGAGTTTGTATTAAACTTATAAAATTTCAGCTGGTGAATGGAAGGTTAATTTTCTATTTCATTAAAAATTATTTGCTTTAGTCAAGTATATCACGACTTACTTCGTTCTGAAGAAGAGTTCGTCAACGAATTGCGCACTATCGTTGACATTTACGTCAGAGCACTTGATAATAGCGAAATTCCAGAAGAAGTAGAAGCACAAAAAGATAGCTTAGCAATGAATCTGAAGCAAATTTTCAATTTTCATGCCAAGTATGTCATATCTAACAAGAAAAATTTGTTTTCACAGTACAAACTTGTTGGTTTCAAAAAAAAATTTCAGAAACAAAATTTCTAAACAATTTTTTAATAAGTACTGAACGAAATTGTTTACGTGTAATTGAAGTATAAACAAATTCATATATTGTTGTAATATAATAAAACTTTACTTTAGCATATAAAATTGACTGAGTGAATAGTGAGAAGAATTTAGAATTCAAAATTCATAGACACGTATGTACCACAAGAAAAGCTGTAATCATGATCACTTGTAAAATGTTTATGCAATTATATGTAATGAATTTTAGCGTAATGTTGAAAGGACTACAATATTACTCTGATGACCCTGAAAAAGTTGGTCAAACGTTCACACGTTTAGAACGCGATTTCGATTTACATGTGCAGTTTAATTCGAACTTACCGTATGTACGTGAATTGCTCAATCAAAAAGTTATCAGCAGTTTCTTCCAGGTATGTTAAGTTCCCAGGTATGAAATTGCAATAATTTTTTTTTAATTTAGTCTTCTAATTCTCTTTTTTGAAATTTGATATCAAAACTTCTTCATCATGCTAACTTATCCGAGAATTCTCATGATTTGCTCATTAACTTCTGACCCTTTCTTTTTCATTTTCGCTAACAGTTTTATCTCAAATTTTTCATCTTTTTGAAGTGACTTATTTTTGAGTTTCTGAATTTCAATTTTTTTCTTTCACCAGCAGTGAATATTTTCATTCTGAATCTAATTTTCCATCATGATAAAGTATGCAGTATTATCATCTCCTCTCTATAAAATACTATCAGTGTAATCAAAATACTTTCTTATGGATGATTTGAGATTGCAGTCAAAGCTCTTAAAAGTAATATCATATTTACACTGATTATAATTTTTTTCCTTAGTGATTACAATCTCAGTCATTATTCTCATATGTTCTGCATTACATGATATCGAAAAAAGTTCATATTAAAGTCCCGCCATCTCTAAGAAATTCAAACTTCAATTTCTTAATTTTTCAATAATGTAACATCATAGCAGTTCAATTCGAAAGATTAAAAAACATTGCTCAAATACTGCTCAATCAAATAATCAACAATTCTTTGAAATCCGTAAAATTAAGCAATTCTTCTCGACAGTAATGCAAAGTGTATTATTGATGCACTCTTTTGTTTTCATCCTTAATTGCGAACTGTTTAAAAGTAAAACCCAATAGAATTTTGATGTTTTTCACGCAAAAATTCAAAAAAATTATCTTTTATTTGCTCATTTCGCACTTCTGAATGCTTTATTAGCATCAAACGTCATCACTATAAATACTGTATTAAATTTGACAAAATTTGTTATATTTTAATAAATGATTTTGCTTTTTTAAAAGTTGATGACCATTACGTCTATACACCGTAGAACGTGAATCAACTGAAATCCATGCTACTTTACAATCCTTCCACATTCTTTGCATCATTTAACTAAATTTAAAAATCATTGTTTGAAAATTTTAAAACTTTACAGATTTAATGAAAAGCATCTTGATTCATTATTTTTGATATAGCTTTGTCCTCTATTACCCTTTTATTTTTTGTCTTGCATATTAGGTATAATATGTTCTGCTCAAGCTTTCTAAATTCTAAATCAGAAACGACCGCTTCTGTGATCCTTTCGGGGATTGATATCTAACCCTATATTATTTAAACAAAAAGTGTGCTCAAAAACTTCTACTTAATTTAGCACTCTCTATCTTAGTTTAGATCAAAACTTTAGTGCATTCTTATCGCGCTGCTGCACCGTGCTTATACTTTTGTCAAAACTGTTAACTTCATGTCCTGGGCATCTTTTTGTCTCTTTACATTGCAAGTTTATTTATTCCATAAAAATATCTCATTTTTTAATTAAATTCAACAGTTATTCAACTCTGTTTAAGACTTCATTTTTGCTTTTTTCAAATTTGAACCATAAAAAATATTTTTGAATAAATGTAATAATTTTAATCGGAATAGTTTTGTCAGTTTTTTTGTAGATAACAGTTAAATAATAATAATTTTGAAATTCAAAATAGTAATTTTGACATTTTCTAAATTCGTGCCATAACATAGCCAAAAATAATTTTGACTTTTTATGGCATGAATTTAGCTTAAATTCATATATGCGTTTCGTAAATTCGAATCACAAAACTTCATTATGCAGCTCAAATTGATAATAATAGCTATTATTATGTATTCGCACTGTTTAATAATGTAGTTTCTGTGATATATTTTGCTTGTATTATGGTCATCAATTAACAAATGTTTAACTATAGTAAACTAGATCTTTAAGCGATTGTATAATCTATAATACAACTGTTCTGGAACTTAATCTTTAAAGTGAAGATAAATTAGTTCAATTATGCCAGCAATTCTAAGACTCATTTACAATACAAATTAAAATATTTAATATTTAGTAGCTTTTACGTCTTTAATTTACTTTTTAATTTTTCGAAAGAAAGAATAAACACAAAAATAAGTTTTAGTAGCACAGAAATCACTCAAAAATAGTGTATTTTTTTAAATCACTATTGTTTGATCACCACTTGCAAGATCTATAGCAAGTATCTTATTATCTGATATATTGATGCTTCCTACTTCAAGATCTAACATTGTTAACTTTGGCAGATTCACATTTAATGTAGCACTTTCGGCATTTTGGATTGGAAATTGTAAAATATATTCTTTATTACCAGAAAAACTAATTGTTGCAGATTTAATATTGAAATTTATATGACCAGATACTCCAAGACTTGTACAAAAATGAAGTGGTTAACAAGATTTCTGCTGTATTTTCCAATTGTTCTACGACATTCTAATATATCTTTCAGTAAAAAGTGATGATAAATTTTCACGTGCAACATTCAGATTTTTTAAATATGATTCTGAAGTTCCACACTTTTAATTATAGGCTAATAGTGATGGAAGTATGCATTATATTTTTTTGCATAAACGCTTTTTTTACTCTTTCTTCACTTCTAATTTTTTTAAATAATACTTAAGCAAAACTTCAGATTCTGAATCAGAACGTTGCAACATTTCAAACATCTATTAAATTAAAAATTGTCATCCTAAACATATGGAAAACTAAAAGTTATCACCTAAAACACCTAACCTAAAACACCATGCAATATTCAGTGATGGTCAAATAAATTTTCTAGCAAGCTAAATTTATCTGAAATTAAATCTTTTAGAGGTCAATTCAAAAAATAAACTTTACTGGCAGAAAAGGAGTATACATGCTGATTAGTTACTTGCCTGAATTGCCGTTTTGAATGGTGTAATTAATTGAAAGATATAAAATTTTGGTCTATCAATCAAGTTTTCAGTCTCGATTTTAAATTTCTCCTGAGATAATTTTATCTGTCATAATCAATTTTGAGATTAATTTATGCTCATCTTTAAGTACAAACCGGAATATTTTTATTAAGATTAAAATTGAGGTGAAAATATTGCAGAAGCGCTTTTCATGAATTTCTTAGCTGTCTGTGTTTGATTTTGGGATGCATAAAATTCGAATACAAACCTAATTCACATCTCTGTGCAGCTAATAATGTTTTCAAAAGTAAATATGTTATGGAAGCAATGTTATTAGCACAGATCTGTCTTGCAAAAGTATCCAAAACAATTTTGACTTTCTCTTCAAATGAAAACAATCGCTTTCAATATTACATTCAATTCATAACAGTTAGCACTTTGACGTCAACATTTTTTCACTACAATTCAAAAAATTTCATCAAAATTATGCCATTTAAAAAATTGTCAAAAAATTTATTTTTTTATAATTTTACAAAATTGAAATAAAAGTAAATCATCTACAACACTATCTAGTTTTCATTTTGACTTTTTTACTCTCTTGTCCAAGCTTTACAGTAATGCTAAACTAGAAGTCAACACAGCAGTGATTATTACCATATAATATGGTAATATTACATTCGAAAATTATAACATTTTTATCTCAGTTACTTTGGAGAACTGTTCACTTTTTTATAACTTTTAATCACTCTAAAAAATTTCTCTATTTATCCACACGCTAATTTCTGTGTCACCTAAGAGGCTGCAATATTTTTACATAAAAAGTGATATTTTTCTGAGATTTTTAGAAAATATCAAAAAAATAAAAAATAAATAAATAACAAAAAAAGAATAAATAATCAATTAACTTCGCTCTAAATTATACTTTTTGAGGGCAATGCTCTATACTTTACTTCTTGTCATAAATCTTTACTTATTGTCATAATTGTCAAAAATATACAAAATTGCTAATTTTTTTTCCATAATTTTACCACATTTTGTGCGGAAAAAATGCATTGTGCAAAACATTTTATTATTATTAAATTTAAATATAATCCTAATAAAATTATCAGTGAATTCCCGCTCATTTTCTCATTAATACTTTGGACAATTAGACATAAGTAATGAGATATACACTTGAAAACACAGAAATTGAGCATCATCTCAGCGTTAGAAATGTTCAATTAGCATTTTTCAATTTGACAAAAGCAAAAGAATAACAAATTTTTAAAAAACCGGACCACAACTTATTTCAGTACGAAATTCAGTGCCAGCTCACTGCAGCACTCAGAATGAATTACACTTGAAAGAAAGTCAGAAATTACTTTTAAGTTCGATAAAATAGTGAAAATCTGTCATCAATAAGTATTAATCAAAATTTACGTACTTTCATCGCTTTATGCCTTAATTTTGATAATTTGTGAATTAAATTTGCTTCGTTTTGATTATCAATGGATTTCGCTTTATCAGAACAAACTGAATTGCTTTCATAAAATTATCTCAGAAATGGTATTTTACAGAAGACATATTTTTCTCTGCATTTTATACTTTTGACCTACGTATTGTTCTCCTGAAAGAAAAAGTTTGAAACAGAAAAACTGAAATTGTTTTTTTCATTCCATAAAAACTTCTGCCTACAATATGTTTTATTAACTTTATGTTGCTTAAATGCAAAATTTCATAAATTAGTAGCAACTATATAAAAGGTATAATTTATTGATAAGAAAATATAATAAAAAATTGAAATTAAAGTTAATTACTGAGCTAAAAGTTCTGGATTTTTTCAAATTTTGATTGCATGAATATGTATGATTGCAAATGTCAATGTCCCTTTTTTGAATAAATGAAATGTTTATCTTCAGTAATCTGAATAAGATTCAATTCAGGATCTAAGTGATAAATCAGAAGCTGGTGCAAAAACATTTGAAGAGCATTTACAAAATATTGCTGATCGTATGATACAATATCAAAATTACTTCAAGGTATATCAGAAGTGGAAAAGTGAAAATTTTTGAATTAGTTTAAAAAAACTTTCATAGGTACTTTCATTAGTCAAATTCTTTCATAGCCTCTGATAAATAACCCTCTTATAAAATTTTAGTATTAGTATTTTTTGGAGATAAATGTTTCAAAATGTTTGCCTTTACTTATAACTGTTTTATTTTATTTCAGGAATTTGTTAAATATACAACCCGAGCCAAGTTAAATACGAAGACGATACAAAAAGCTTTAGAATTAATGATGTCTATACCAGAACGAGCTGCTGATTTACAATACATCAGTAAAATTGTTCAGTATCCTGGAGACCTGAAGAAACTTGGTCGACTTTATCGTCATGTTGGTATTTCATGTATTTTCTTAGAAAAAATTTAAACTGATTATTCGAGTGCAATATGTTTCAAATTCAGAAAAAGTTTCGCATTTTCTTATATCATTTATATTTCAGTTTCGTTCAGTTCATTTGATAATAATGTTACTCAAACAATGCCATAAAGAGAAATTTTTGAATTTGTTTCTTAGTTGATTCGAAATAAGCATAACTTCGCACATTTTACATATTAACATTAATTTTCATCAGAGATAAGCATTGTAAAATTTTTTTGAGTGCATTTTAACTATAAACTGGACAAAATTACTGAAAATTTTGCCATCACGTCAAATCTTGCCATCACGTCAAATTAATAATGATTACTTTCAAATTCTTAGGAAAAACTTTTATATAGCAAAGAATTATTTACAGATTAGTTTGTGCGCTTATAATTTCTATTGCAAATAAAAGCAGTTGCAGTTATTTAGCAAATAAAAATTTGAGTACTTTAAAATGAGTTGAAAGTTTATAGGATCCATTTTTGGTCTGGCAGAATAATGGCACAGAACCAACTGAATGTTATGCATTTTTGTTCAAGAATACATTATTGCTCACAGAAAAGGATAGCAAGGATCCATCATATTACAAATACTCTGCTTCAATCCGAGTAAAATGTTTAATTAGTATTTATTACATGTATTAAATACTGATTAAGTGAAAAGTAAGCAAATATATATATATATATATATATATATA